CGCTGACATCCTGGGCCTGTGGGCGCCACGAGAGCAGAGGTTTGGGGTCACACTTCCACCCCGGAGTCCCCTGTGCTAGGAGCAGTGGAAGCACACGGGTCCCAGAGGAGATCTGAGCCTTGCTGCCCGGAGACCCGGCCACGCGCTGCCACAGCAGCGTCTCCTGTCGGGGACGCGGGATCCCAGGGCCGCCTGTCCATGGAGGAGGATGGCGGCTGATTATCACAGAGATAAAATGATCAGTTGCTTCCTGTGGAAACGAGGTAGGAACCGTCCGGACACATTCATGCGTCCTGCTGTGGTCTGCAGTCTATCCGCACGGCCTCCTCTGCGTGTTGGCCATGCCCACCGCGTACGCAGGGTTCTCCTAGTGCACATCCGTCTGCATTGCGAAGGGAAAGGATGTTTTATTCATGCCAAAGAGCGTCACAGCCCCCAATGCTTAAGTTTTCTGAGAGCCTGGCCTTCACGATGACGGTGGGTAAAATATCGCTCAGGTCTGCCCTCAGCGGGTGGGACAGACATGAAAGGCAGGCCCCCCCCAGGGCTGCCCCTGGGCGGCCCCCACAGGGAGCCCACCTCCTTCCTCCGGCGGCCTTTGCTCATCCTCCCCTGCCTTCTAGTGGCAGCCGAGCCCGTGCCAGGACCCGAGCTGGGCCACGAGGGCACAGCCCCCAAACCGTCCCAACCAGTGTTCACACCACGGTGCTCAGGCACCACCCCTCACGGCCGTTCCAGACCAGAGTCCAGGCCCTGCCGACAGAAACTACCCGATCGCCTTTCACTGTGCATGTGGAAACGGGACTGTGATAATCCCGCGTGCCCGGATGTCCCACCTGAGCAGCTCGCCGAGCAGGGGGAGCCGTGATGGGCTTTGGAGGTAGCTGCGCATCCCGGGAGATGAACGCAGGAGGAGAAGGAAACTCCTCTGTGTTTCCTGGTTACCATGTCCCTGGGCCCTCTGCATGACGGACAGGCGTCCCGACCAGAAACGCCCTTGGGCTGAGGGCCTGCCGAGGTCAGGGCCACCCACGGACGTGCGTCTCCGGACCCCGTTCTGATGCAGCGGTTGCTTCTTCGAGATCCTTCCTCGAAGCTGTCTTCTCCCGATGGTTGCTTAATCCTGTTTTAAGTGATTTTAGCAAAGTATGAAATTACTTGCTTCCTGTTTCAATGAAAACCGTCAGTAGAAATAACCATGGAAAAACGTTGTTTATTTCTAGTTCATAGCGAGCACTGCTTTGGACAGTATCTGTGACAAGTCTGGGTGCCTAAAGGAGCCGCGTGGTCCCCCTGGAAAAGGGACCCATCTTCTTTGTCAACTGACAGAAAAAATTGAACAGCCAGGTAAAGAGATTGCTTACCGAACTCATTATCACTACCCAACAACTCATCCAAAAATGTCATGTTAAAACCTACCGCCAGGGATGCCTTGTGAAGAAATTCGTTACAATGTATCAGCTCTTTCGTATGAGAACAAAATGTTTCTAAAACACGTGCCCAGATCTGCACTGACGTTTCCCTTTGGTCCAGTACAGTGATTCCAGTCTTCGGTTAGGAGGTGGCACTAGTACTTTGATTTAATTAACATATCAATATTATTAGGTGAAAATGGACCGTAGTCTAAAGTTTCGGTGAGCCCCGAAGTTAGGAGAGCCCCCTGCATGCTCAGGAAGGCTATAGTTAGAGGTGGAGAAGACAGGGAGTAAGTGCTGGCGAGGACGCGGAGAGGTGGGGACCCTGGTCCGGCCTCACAGGCACGGGAGGGCTCAGCTCCTGTGGAAGGCAGTCTGGCGCCACCTCAGAATCACCAAGACCCAGAAGTCCGCTCCTCACCCAGATGCAGAAGGCGGGAGAACAGATGTTCCCGCACGGACCGGCTCCGGGCGCCTGCGGCGTGGCCACAGCAGCGTGGCCACAGCAGCCAGAGGCGGGGCCGGCTGTGCCATCTCAGCCACACAGTGGGATGTTCTCAGTGCAGAGAAGGGAGGAGGCTGTGGGCCCGTGCTGCAGGGTGACCCCGAGAACATGCTGGTGAATGAATGCGTGCACAGACCCACATCCTCCATGGCCCGTTCACATGACGGGCAGGAAGGTCCCAGGGACAGCGGACGGCGGTGGGGTGGGGCCGGGGTTCCTCGGGGAGGGAATGTTCTGGAACCAGGCGGAAGGTGGGCGACGGCACTGTGGGCACACGCAATGCCCTGAATCACACTCTTTCAAATGGCTCCAGTGCTGAATTTTATGCTTTATGACAAAAATGACAGGGTTTGTGCCTGGAGGCTCTAATTTTCAAACAGTCAAAAATAAAGTGTCTGGAGGAGACCCTCAGCCAGCCCCTGAGCAGGGCAGGACCTGCTCTGTCTGGACTCGGACCACGGCAGTGCAGAGCAGCGCTTGGACCCGGAGGGGCGACTTCCCGGGGCGCCGGGCCTTTCCATTGTCTTCAGGAGGTGGCGGGGACACCAAGGTGAGAAGGACGTGATTGTGAAGCTGGGCTGCACCCTCTGGTTTCCGCAGCGAGGGGCGTTCCGTTGAGCCTCCTGTGGGTGCCCGTAGCCAGGCGGCGGTGCAGCCGCTCAGCCGGGTCGCTCGCCGGGTGCGGCGCCTGCAGCCCCGGGCGCACTGTGCATGCAGAGGTCGGCGCGGACCTGGGCCTCATGTCGCCGCTGCCGCGTGAGGCCCTGGCAGACCAGCATGGGAGGCGCTAGCAGATCCAGGTCCGGGTGGTCTGCGTGCTTCAGCAGAACCGACTGGAGACTGACGTCCAGACTCTCGGCCACGGTCGGTTCCAGGCGCCTGGGTCAGCATATCTGGCGTGGGAACCGCAGGCAGGTGGCGGAGACCACAGCACCCTGACTTGGCAGCCGGCTGCGGGCCTGATTCTGGGGGGCAGTGCACGGGCCAGCAGTGGTGCTGAGGGTCCCCCGTCTCCTCTGGCTGTGCAGTCAGCTGGCCGTGAGCCTGGAACGTAGCACCTGACACCGAAAGGCTGTGGGTTCGAGGACTCTCCGAGCGGTGGCCGGAGCGGCGTCTTTCAAAGACGGCACCCACGCCAGGAATAGGCCCGCGGGTTTGGAAAACTCACGCTCCAGGAGAGTTCAAAGGTTTTACGTAATGTGTAACCCCATCTGCCCGTGCGGAGACCCAGAGAGCTGGGGCTCATATCGCGTTTCCCTGCAGACAGTCAAACCACAGGTTACCCTGAAACAGGAGGACGGCCCAGCTAGGCAGCGGTTTCTGCTCGGCTCAAACACAGAGCGCATTAAAACCACATGTCGCTGAGGGCTGGCTGCCGGGCCGGCCGAGGTTAGGCCGGGAGGCCGAGTCCAGGGTTTCTCCAGCGCAGGCCCCGAACCCAGGACGCGCCTCTCCCCGGGGGTCCCGGCTCCGGGCTGACCTGGGGACAGGGTTTGCCTGTGGCTCCCGACGCCCCCGAGCTGTCAGGCGTGGCCGGAGCCCGGGCAGCTGCCCAGATGGTACCTCCTCGAAGCCGGCCGCTTTCCCTACGAGGCCTTCGGAGAGTGGGCATGTCTGAAAAAGTCTCTCTCGGAGTCCACAGGGCTTTTAAGATCGAGACAACTTGTTATTTAAATCTGGAAACACTTAAGAAAACTTGGGAAGGCTGTTCTTTTCAAGGTTTGAAAGTCAGATGAGCTACATGGTAGGCGGGCCACGGAGAGAAAACCGGCACTTGTGGTGGTGTCCGGGGCGCGAGGCGCAGTGCGGACGGCCTGGCCCCTCTCCGGCGGCTGGAGGCTCCTCAGAGGGGCTCCACCAGCCATTGGCCAGGTCAGAATCAGGGGCCTGTGGACGGCTGTCCCACACCTGCAGTCCTACCCCAGAGCTGGACACTAGCATCAGGAAGGAGCATCCCTCCTGGCTCTAGGCGGCGTAAGTCCAGACTGCACAGCGCAGGGGGGCAGAGGCCTTGTACCCAGTGCCCGGGGCTCGCCCCCACCCCTTCCCTGCCCCCTCCCCTTCCCCCGCCCCTCCCCTTCCCTGCCCCCTCCTTCCTGTCCGGAGCGGACTTGGATGTGCTGAAGTATTTCTCCCCTTCTGTGTTGGCTTCAGGTGTGCAGCACAGTGGCTCAGCCACCATGCTCCTTCCAGAGTGTCCCCTCCATATTCCCAGGACCCCTGGCACCGCACAGTTATCGCAGTGTTAGGGACGTCACACCCCGTGGCTGGTTTGTAGCCACCAGTGTGTAGAGAGGTGAGTGTGAGGCTCACACGCGAAAACCCCGGGAGAGAGGAGCAGCGATCTCCGGCGTTTCCTCCCCGTCTCCCGCTGGAATGTGTGCGGACGTCTCCCAGGTCACTGAGTCCCGGGCTTCCTCCCGAGCCGGGGCCTGAGGACGGCACGTCGAACTGTGCTACAGGGACTCTCGTGCAACGTCTGAAAGGTTGGGGCTGGGTGATCGTCCGACTGTCCGTTTGCCCTGGGGAGAGGCTGGAGCTGTGTCGCTCTGACATCCTGGGAACGTAGATGCAGAGTAGAGAGGCCACCATGGTTTCCCCACCAAAGTGGTTTTCAGAGGGGGGGCCACCTGGACCCCTGCTGTGGGCCCGAGCGTCACGCACCCTCCCCGGTTCTGCAGGGCTCCCTCCCTCTGGGCCTGTGTTTCTGGTCTGATTTTGTTTGTGGCTTCAAGACCCCGTCCCTGTGGGCGTGTGGACCGGACCTGTGTGCTCAGGTGCGCGTCCTTGAACCTGAAGCGAGTCCGACTACTCGCTGGGCTGCAGCTTGTGTTTCTCCATTGGCCACAGAGCACATTCTGTTTCACGGGGACAAGCCAGGGAACCTTTGCTGAGCCTCGACTTCCGTGCTCGTGAGGGGTCGAGAGGACCCTGCTCTTCTGTGGGCCTTTCACTGGGTGACGCACGGTGGCGCTAAGCCGCCCTCTGCTGCTCGCTGGCCCGGGGCCTTCCCGCTGGGCGGTCCCCGCACTCCTGGGACCCCTGTGCATAACCGTCGCTCTGCTCTGTCCCTTCTGCAGACGTGTCCAGGTGTGTGGCCGAGAGGAAGTACACCCAGGAGCAGGCCCGGAAGGAGCTGCAGCAGGTGTTCATCCCGGAGTGCAACGATGACGGCACCTACAGCCAGGTCGTAGATTCAGCCAGACTTCTGGACGGGGGTGGGGCCGCGGGGGAGCCGAGCCGGAGAGGAGGGGCCGGGCATTCCCAGGAGCCCCCCTCCACGTGGTGGGTGTCTGTCCCTAACCAGGCCCAGGTTAGGTTCAGCAGTAGGTGGGTGAGCTGCACACCGCTCCTTCCTGACACAGGTCCGTGCGTGCTGCGGCCGGTCAACCTCATCACAGTGAGAGCCGGAACGGGGCAGGGAGCCGGTGGGACCCGCGTGCCCGGCTCATTGTTGAGAGCCTGACTTGAGTTTAGTTTGATCTTCGCGGGCGCACTCAGTCACAGAACTTCAGCAGCAGCCGGGAGCCCGGGCCTGGGGACACGGGGCGGGGCCCTGCGGTGTCTGACTCGGCTTGGAGGTCGTTGGCACAGGCCACATCCAGAAACGGCCCAGTGGTCTCTCCACTGTTGTCATCACTGTCGTTTCTGCTGAGGAACCGGAATTCCGGACACAGTGCTCTGGACAATAGCTGTGAGCACCGGTCATCACGAGAACCCAGTGCAATTCTGTAGCCATCGTCACCGTTGAGAGGAAAGAGCTGGAGACGGGCTGGAGCTACAGGGAGGCCCCTGGGGCTGGTGTGGAGGGCGGCCTGGGGCAGGACAGAGTCAGGAGGGACCCTGGCAGGGGGCTGGGGTGGAAGGAACATCCCACCACCAGCTGATGCCAGTCTCTCCTCCTGGACTCTGCATGGGGCACACGGGAGACAATGAGCCAGTCTCGTGACACCCTGGGTCCTCGGTTTCCCCCTTTGTCAGATGAGGGCTCGGGCTCCGGCTCCAAGGTGACGAGGGTTAGATGCTTCACCGCTGCGGGGCCAGCACACACGGGCGTTTAGCCAGCGCCTCTGGTGGCGTCTGCGTCCAGGACCCCAAGTTTGGGTTGTTGCATCGAGTGCTCCAAGGCAGGGTTTCGGGGTCACGAGAGCGGGCTCTACCCCAGCCAGGCCCTCCGTACTGACCGCTGTGTCCTGCCATTCCTCCAGGTCCAGTGTCACAGCTACACGGGATACTGTTGGTGTGTCACACCCAACGGAAGGCCCATCAGCGGCACCGCCGTGGCCCACAAGACACCCCGGTGCCCCGGTAGGTCTGGTTGAATGACGGGGTGAACCTTCCGCTGACGGATTTCCTGATCTTACCTGTGTTGGTTTATCATTCATAAGAAACTCAGCTCTGGCCCCCTGAGGCGTAATGGGAAGGGGTGTGTGTCGCCGGACGAACCCGCGATGTTACGAAACCACCGCTGACGGGAGCTCGGGTCTGAGCCACGCCAGGTCTTGGTGATTCAGGGCTCTTAGTATTAGAAATAACTACAAGCGCTCTAGTCAACAGTGGAAAGGAACAAATATTTTCTTTGGCCAAAAAAGAAAAAGCAAACATTTCTGGGTTTGTATGTATATTTTTGCAAAGGAAAAGTGGCTCATTCTTTACGGCTCCATTTCCAGATGGCTTGTTTGTGTTATTTTTATTACTCCTCAGAGGAGTTGATGTGCTGAACACAATAATACCGGCAAGAGAATTATCTATAAGATAGACTTTTTTTTTTCATTAATATTTTACCCAAAACTTTATAAATGATTCGAATCATTTTTATTTGAAAATAGTCTGCAGCCTTGCGTCTTGATTAATTGTTTGGGGAGATCAATCAGATCATCTATCAAAAAATGTGGTGGTCACCCTGGCCTGTTTGGCTCAGCGGTTAGAGCATCGGCCTGCGGTCCTGAGAGACCCGGGTTCGGTTCCCGCTAAGGGCACGTACCTCTGTTGCAGTTTGTCCCCGGCCCTGGTTGGTCATGCGGGTGGCAGCCACTCGATGTGTCCCTTTCACGTCGATGTTTCTCTCTCTCTCTCTCCCACTCTATCTGAACAACAAAATGGAAAAATGTCCTCGGGTGAGGATAAAAAGAAATGTTGTGGTCTACACGTCCAAATCCCCAGGTTAGATTTACGAAAATAGGCGCAAGTATCATTATAGACCAATACTGAAGTACAAAGTATCTTCCCGATATTTCTCATAAATTATCAGAACATTTACACTTGGAGGTTCCTTTGAGACGTATTTTCTATTGAAAGGCAGGCCTGTTATAATTAGAAATCGGCTCCTGATTCAGACTTTTATAGCGGGAGCCACGCAGGGGACAGGGCCCCACTGCCCAGAACGACACCCATAATTAACAGTAACGTGAAACCTAATATTTCCAGGGACTGGTCATCGCTGGAAAGCCACGGGCTGGGCATAATGTGGAATGGAAACATATTTATTTTTAAAAACTATTTTGTCATCCAAGACCTAAAAATTGCTGAAAAAATATTTTTAGTGAGCTAACCCTGCACCTAATAATTCTTTAACAAACTCATGGCGTCAACGCAAAAAGAAATAAATAACACACCAGGTTGGCCTGTGTGTGTCTCTGAGGCCGGAAGACGCCTCCACGTGCCGACTTCCCTCCGTCCACGGAGGCGCCGTGTCAGCCCCGGTCACTTTACGGAGCAGAACATGGGCCCGCGTCTGTGTCTGTGATTTTCAGTGAGACCGTCTGGAACATTAAGTAGTATCCCAAAGACCGTCATTAGAAAACCATGTGCAAAATTGGCTGAATTGTTCACATTTTCCCTAGAACTTTGCTTTTCGAATCGAACCGCTGCATTGCTGCTCGCGCAGATGTTTTTTCCAGGCATTGTGCACATTTTACTGTACAGAAATGCCCGTGGTTTTCAGTGCCCAGCTGGACGTTTTTGGTCCAGGTGACGGGTGTTGAAAGAAAGAGGATTCTGTTCTTATGCTTCAAAGTCTGGTTCAGTGTGCGGAAAGGCTGTGAGGAGGAGCCAGAGACGGAGGCATTCAGATTCGTGGCCGGGTGCCGACTGCGCCTCTAACCCTGTGCTGTGCACGCGTGCATGTGCTCACGCGTGTGCGTGTGTGTGTGCGCGCTTCCATGGCGTGTTTTTGTGACCTGCATGTTGGCTTGGCCGGGGTCATGTCACACCTCTCGGTACTAACAGACTCCGAGGGAGTTACAGAGAAATTCTCTTGATGCACAGTCGCCTCTGTGCTGTTATTCTGCGAGAATCTGGGCTTGAAGAGCGGGTCCTGGGGGGGGGGGACACCAGTGAGACAGCTGCAGTGAGCTACTGGGAAAACTGAAATCTAAGGGACGCTTTGGGAGGATGAAGTACACAACTGCACACATAGGCACAGAGTTTGTGACCAGCTTCTGTGTGACGTCACCTCCCAGACGTAGACTCATGTTCACAGGCTGCAGAGAAGCCGGGCGACGGCACATCCCTCTGCACGGGGCTGATGAGCGACGTCGGCACAGGTGTCCATCGGCTGGTGCTCAGCTGCACTGTCCGGTATGTCCAGGCTGGAGCAGGTCCTGTCCGTGTCCTTCAAAATGGGTAAACGTCTCTGTTCAATACCTTTCGTCCTAGAGTTTATTCCAAGCCGACCGTGGAGTCTGCGTACGTGCGACGCAGATTTGAAGATGAGAGCGATTTCAAATGTAGCCGTGGATGGTAACTGCCCCTCAGAAGCACACCTGCGTGCGTTTTTCTGTGCGTGCACACAGGGGCCCACAGGACACAGGGTCTTGCTGGATGGAGGGGAGCCCCTGCCCCGACTTCCACCTCTTCGCTTCTTCCAGAAAGACCTTCCAGAGGGGAACATTTCCGAATTCATGGCTCTGTATTTTTAAGCAGTTCGTGCAAAACAGCCAAATTCCTACTAAGCAATAAGAATGATGAGATGATGATGCCCTGGCCGGTTTTGCTCAGTGGTTAGAGCGTCGGCCTGTGGTCCGGAGAGACCAATGTTCGGTTCCCGCTAAGGGCACGTACCTCGGTTGCAGTTTGTCCCCGGCCCTGGTTGGGTCGTGTGGGTGGCAACCACTCGATGTGTCGCTTTCACGTCGATGTTTCTCTCTCTCTCTCTCTTCCTCCCACTCTATCTGAACAAAATATGAAAAAAAAAATGTCCTCAGGTGAGGATAAAAAAAAAAAAGAAGGATGAGATGATGAGATGACAGGTCTCAGCCCCTCGGTGGCCAGCACGTGGCTGGACCGGCCCTGGGGTTCGGGTTCTTACTACGATTGCGCTGAGCAATGCCCATGGGAGCTCGGGGAAGATGAGGCGAATGCTAACCAGGCCTGGAGATCGCAGAGGCCCAGACGGTCAGTTACTGAAGCCACCAAGATCTCCAAACCAAGAGGGGGTCCTGGCTCTTCCCCGGGTGTGTGGCTGGCGACACGTCCCCTCAGCCAGGCGTCCTTGAAGCAGAAACCTCTGGAAGGATGTGTGGACCACCCGAGCCCCAGTCAGGAACTCGCCTTACGACAAGGAAGAAGCAGCGGTCAGGGCTGGGAGGGTATCTGGTGGAGAAGGGGGCTGAAGTCCTGGGTGGGCAGCACTTTGTGGGAGGAAATGCTCAAGCCAAGGCAGGTAGGGTGCTGAGAACTGGGGACTGGCAGCTGAGCCCGCAGGGACGCCCCCGCCACCGCCTGTAGCGGTGAACCTGGGCTGTGCCGTGCTGGGGCCACCGTGCGAGTTCAGCTTGCTCCTTACCAGGGGTGACAGGGCCCAGTCACTGAGCAGGAGCCGTGCACGGGGCCGTCGGGGGCGGTGACCAAACCCTGCGGATGGGCCGGTGTCCTCGCGTCTGACTACAGAGAACACGTTTGCTCGGCCTGTTCTGTGGGAAACGAGGAAGAGCCGCTGCCCGAGTGACCGGGACAGGCGGCCACATGGTCCGGGGCAAGGACTGAGCCCACGAACCACTCGAGCACAGATGATCCCCTCTCTCACCGTAGACCCCTTTGGGTTGGAGAGCACAGTGACAGGTGTTCTGAGGGGCCTGGGACAGAACGGGGGGCCTGTGCACTGGGTCCCTGCCTGAGGGGGTCCCCGTGCTGGACACCCACGTGCTCTCATGAGTTGTCAATATTCCGCAAGTTTAAACAGTGAGAAGCGCAGATGCCTTCGGAAGGGGCCACAGGCTGACTCCTAAAGCTATGCCTGGATGGGACGTGTCCCTGAGGGCTGGGGAGGTGCGGGACCAGGAGGGGCAGAGGCCAGATAAGGAGAGGGTGCCCCCGGGCCGCAGGGAGGGCGCAGATGTCGTAAATGGCGGTTTGGGGGAGACCAGCGGGGACAGTGGCCATCAGTGAGCCTCTAGCCGAGCGGGGATGTCGCTGACACTCGGGGGCTGCCACGTGTTGGGGGTCCCGCAGCCTGGGTGGAGGTGGAGGTTCCGTCTGCTCTCAGGTGAGAGCTCTGCCCAAGGCCTCTGTGCTCGCGAGTGACCGAGCCCGGACTCAAGTCTGCGGCTTTGTCTCCGTGGCCCACAGCTGCCAGGCGCCACGGTGCAACGCCCGACTTCCCTGGGCCAGACGCATCGAGTTCGACCGCGAGCCCGGGCCCTGAGGTCCGCGGCCTGTGGCGGTTTTGTCCAGGCCCGGGCGGAGCTCCAGGACACGGCGCTGCGAGCTACCCCCCCACGGGAGCCCTGCCCGTCTGAGGACTGCCCGGCCTCCTGACCAGTGTCCGTCGGCAAAGGAGGGACACCCAGCATGGGTTCCCACCAGCGAGCGGGGCACCGTTCATTCCTGGGAGAGCCCTGGTCCTCACTTTTTTCCTGCTCCGTGTCCATTAGCTCCACTGAGAAGCTGAACAGATGGAGCAGCATTTTGGGGAGCAACCTGGGGGCATGTCCTTGGCCACCAGGTGCTGCCCGGACTGGTGCTGAGGACCAAACAGCTGCCCCCGGAGCCCCATCCCCAAGCAGCCCACCCCCGCCGGCCTCAGGGCCTGGCCTGGCCCTTTGACTTAGGCCCCAGGGTCTGCAGGCTGCCCCCCAGCTGGTCAGAGGGAGGGGACGGACGCGGGGCCTGCGTGCCGGTTTGGGCGGGTCAGCAGCCCCCAGCGCAGAGCCGACCTGGCCTTGTGTGGACCTGTGCTCTTCCTTCCTTCCCCGACTAGACTGACCCTGCTGGGGTGGGGCAGAGCTGAAACAAAAGGACTTTCTTGCAGGGAGGGTTTGAAGCGGCCTGTGGCCTGCTCTGCTCTGTGGGACCAGCTCCAGGCCTTT